TGTTCTGTAATTGGATTTATTTTCTTTTATCAGATTTCTTCAGTTCTTACCATCCCTTCATTTTTTCTGTCTTCTGTTTAGCAGCTTTCCCATGGACTTTCCTTTCTGCAAAGATGGATGCTGATGCAGTCCTAGAACCACGATTTTCTTTTTATTTAAAATGCACAATAGTTTCTGTGGCTTTTTCTTCTCTTGGCTGTGTTGGCAACAGCTCATAGGACTTTCCCTGGTTTTGATTTTCATCACAAATTTCCAACTTCTACTACCCTTAAGGTATAAAAGCATCTGATCTGAGTTTGTGGCTTGGAATTTAAATGACATTCAGTTGCTGGTCTTTCTTAGACGAGGTCTCATTTTGGTCGAGTTTCTTTATGTAGAATAATGTTTTATCTCGTTAATACTACTTGTTTACTTTGTCCTAAAATGACTAATTCAAAATTAGAATCTGAGATTCTGATTACAATTTGGAGCAGCCCTTCCTCAGGAAGTATTAATACAAGTAGTATTACTTAAAAGCATTTACAACAAGTAGTACCTACCTCTGCTGGTATTACGTTTGTAAGGGTAAAATTAGAAGATGTAGGTAATTTCCTTGCTCTGCCATCACAGACTGTAACCTTGGCCAAACCATGTCTGTGTTCACCTGATACAAGAGGGGATAATTTAGTCTCATAGGGCTGCTTTGAAACGAAGCACGTTCGAGATTAAAATATTATAGTGACAGTGGCAAAAAAATATCCAGTGTGCCTTAACCCAGTGCATTTGATCAGTCCTTCAGGTCAGAGCAGATTTAAAGGCCATCTGTGGTATGAGTCCATTGACTTACATAAACCAGGATCAAATGTGATTCATGTACTTGTGTGGTCTGACCCCTTTGAATTCTCTGGTCAAGTTACGTTAGGAAGGGAGAGAAGCGCAGAGGTTTGCTGTGATTTTTGTGTGTCTGTCTTTAAATAAAACAAAACCCTGTCAACAGCTGACCCAGAAGACTTTTGTTTTGCAGTTTATCACACAGTTTTGGAGACGTGAATGGCAACTTGAAATGTGCCTTAAAATACACACCACCTCTGAATATTTTTAATGTGGGTATTATAAAGTAATGTTTGATTTTTTTTTTTTTTTACCCCATGAAAGTTGAACTCTAGTTCTTTTACGAATACATTTTATGAATGTTATTTTTCCATCTTTATAGATTTTTTTTATTATTATTTTTTAATTTCTAAGCATAAGGGGAGAGTTATCTTCTGGCCACATAACTTTGATCCCAGCTGGGAATGACCAAGAGGACTGACTGCTCACAGCACCTCACAGTGCTCTGTAAAGGTGCCTTGCCAATGTAAAAGAACACTTCCAAGGTCTGTTTCAGCAAAGCAACAAAGGCAGAGTTTTTGAACATCATGGGGCTGCTAATTCCCAGCTGGAATGTATTAACTGCAGCCATTCTTGTTAGAAATGGCAAACATCAGGTAACCTTGCACTGTGGAGCTGGAAATGCTTCTCAGACTTCAGTTCTCATTCTTGAAATCTAAATCCTGTATTCTCTCTCATTTGTTTTATTTATTATTTTCTGAGTATTTTCATCAGAGATGTGGTTTTATAAGACAACATTTGGTTCTTCTCTGATTTCCATGGTGTGCCTGTGGGGACCTCAGTAGTTCATAGAAATGCTTATGCCATGGTCCTCTGATGGAGAGAGATCTGAAAATCGCTGGAGGCATCTGCTCTGATCTCTCTGGAGACTGGACTTTGTTTAGGAGAGTTCTTATCTACGCTGTCCCTCCCACACCTCAATTTTGTGCCATTACATACATTTTACAGAGGAAGAAAAGGAGCACTTCTGAAAGCTGTCTGAAAAATGCAGACTGAAGAGACTGGAGGAAAAAAGTGCAAATTCTTTTTAATCCCCATTTGTACAAATAATTCACAGATTAAGGATTTTGGGCCAGAAAGAGGGGCTGAAGTCTGAAATGCATGGCCCCCGTGTGGGATTCATACAGAGCAGCTGAACAAAATGCTTCGTTTCAAAAAGCCACTGCATGGCTTCCCTCTCTGTTCTCAGGGAGATGATGAAGAAGAAAAAAGACGATGACTTTGCAGCTGATTAATCACTGGGAAACAGTAATCACTAGTGGTGTGTTTTGGGTCATTATTCAAGGACTTTCAGACAGAAATAAACTGGAGAACTCCAACAGTAGCTTTCTCTAATTATTTTTCTGTGCTCAGCCCTACTGCATGTATTGAGCAAACCATTTCTCTTCTTCCAATTTATAGTCAATGATCTCTGGGGCGCAGATTCCAAACATCCTGCGGAGTTTATTCTAGAAGCTGCCTTGATGAGAGCATATTTATGTCTTTAAAAGAGGCTATTTATTATGGAATTAATTCAGATTTGAAAATCGTAGCCAAAGTTTTATAGCATACTTAAATGTATGTATCTGCTTGAGAAATATTTTGAGATGGGTCTTTACCATGTGTAAATTGGCACAGCCTCTCCAAAGCTGAAAGAAACTGAGCTGATTTACGCCCGCTGAAGTTCAGACCCCTTTGATTTTCCTTTTCTCTTCCGTGTGTATAATGCACTGAGAAAGAAGACAACCCTCTTTAATCTGTGGAGAATTTAGACACTAATCAAGCACTAAAGAGGCACCATGCAGAGGCTGAGAGCTGAAATCCTAAGGATGAAATCAAGTAATTGCTTTATCTCTTTCTTTTCAGACATCTAGAGAGATCCTTAAAGGCAAACCTAAAAGTAAATGAATGAATCTAGCCAAGTGGATTTAGCTGGGGATGGAGGTATTAAACTTCCACTGAAAGTAGCAGCAAATAGGTGGCATTCAGTTCAGCTTACAAAGGCTAACAGTAGGCAACACCAGCACTTGGGCATCAGTGGGGTTCTCTCTGACTTGATACAGCCTGTAAGCACCTAAATCAATGGAAAATACGGTTAATTTAGAAAAAAATGGTGTTTTTGTTTAAAAGTAGCTTATAATCAAGAAATTATCATAAATATTAAGTTTATTTAAGTTTAATTTATAATTTCTCTGGAAATTTCTCCTATATTTGCCCAGACCCTGTACAATGACAGCAGTGATTCAGTGATTTTTCTCATGGATATAATTTGGGAGGCTCATCCTCTCAGAAAGGAACAAGCCAAAAAATCTAGGGGAAGGGAGAGCAGGGAAGAGTTGGGTGATTTCTAAAAATGAGTTATTGAGTCTGCATGACAACCTGAGCATTTTACAGTTACATCCTGTGGCAGCCAGTTCTATGTAATTTGCTACTGATTGGGACCTGATTATTGATACTGGAGGGATTACTCTTTTTCCATAGCTTTTTCTCATGTAGATGGTTTTATGCTTCTCATCTGGATTAGGAACAAAAAAATGCAAGTTTTTTAGCAGACTTGAATAAGCGAGCTGTTTCCAAGGAAGAAGTTTCAGGCTTAGACTTGGGCAAAGAATTTACGGCATTTTTGACCTCACTTTGTCTATACTGGTAAATTAATAGTGATACGGCAAAATCAAGTAAGGTTAGAAACAGGTTAAAAAATCCTGACTGTATTTCAGATTCTTTATAGTGAGGAGACTCCTTGCGTGTCAGTTTTGTTCAATATGTGGAAAAATCATTGACGTCAACTTCCAACTGCAAAATAGGGATTTTACACCATGAACTGAATTTATCTTAAACCCCAGAGGCCAGAGTTTTCAAAAGAGCTTAGCTCTCATGTAAATTTGGAAAGAAATGACCAAATTTCTGGAGCCCTGTAGGCTGAGGTTCGGAATTGCTGCCTCTGGGTGGTGACTGCTACTACACTCCAAGTGTAGTAATGCAAGTTAATGCCTGCAAGATTGCACCCTAGGTGTGTTGTAACCTTAATTTTGGTCCCTGAGAAGGGCAATTAGCTCATACAGACCTAATGACAGCTCATCTACACTTCAATTAGCTGGGGATGTGATCATATTTAGTACAGGAGCCATGCTAAAATGCCACTCACATTTCACTTTAAGTGTTCTGTGTCAAAGACACCATCACCCAGGAGTGAACTGCTGCTATTAAATTTCATAAACAATCCTTTGAAATGGAGTTGTCACAGAAGCAGACTTAAGCAGCATTTTAATGTTGTATCAAGGACAGCATTGCACAGTGGACAGAATTACAAAACTGCCCTCTGGACAAGAAGAAAAGATCATCAGATCCTGGTCATACTGAGTGGCCAGGTATTACTTGGGCATGATTTCTCTCTTCCTTCTGGGTGTTAGGAAGTTGTCATTTGGGAGATGGTGAGGTAGCCAGACCTTTCCTGGCATCTGCCCTAGAAACATGGGTAAAGGATGTGTATCAGTTCTGGCTGGTTGTAGGAGCTATTTGTTACTGAATTGAACAATAAAGAAATGTGGCAGAACAGTAATAAATTCAAAACAGTGAATGTCATGGCCAAAGTGAAAGACTATTTACATTTTCTTCTCCATATCCACTTTGTAAATTGTATGACCTCAGGGCAGCATTATGTTGTACACTGCTCTGACTTGACTAGGAGACCTGAGTGCTATGGGCACTCCCTAACTGGTTTTAGATACTAAATGCATTCCGCTTTCCCCCTTACGTACCCTTCTTCCTCCTGTGAACCTCCTGTTCAGTGCTCAGCAGTGGCAGCCGTCAGCCAGCACATGGGGACTCTGTACAGATGCTGCTGCTCATTTTAGGAGTGAGGACTAAAGAGCTTTGAGTAATGGTGGGAACTTGAAGCTGCTTTGTGAGGAAATCAAGTGATATCTGGTCAGTGCAGAGAAGTAGCCAGAATGCAATGCCTAGAAGCAGTAGTTACTGTATATCAGATGCTCCAGTCCCTTAATCATCGTAGTGGCCCTTTGCTGGTCTTGCTGCAGTGTGTCTATGTCTGTCTTCTGCTGGAGAACACAGAACTGGACACAGCAGTGCAGGGGTGGTCCCACTGGTGCTGAGGGTTGCCTCCCTCAGTCTGCTGGCAATGCTTTGACAAGATGAAGGAGAAATATCACTTGGACCCTCATGGCCTGACCCTCATCCCTAGTCGCATATTCATGCTTGATATGTTCCAGGTCTCCATAGCAGTGGGTGCCAGTGTGAAGGAGCAGCACAGGGTAATAAATAGTCTGAGGGCCAAAGAGGCATCAGCAGTTCTTCCATGGTGTCCCTTTGCAAGCAGCAGATTTCCCTAGACAGCACATCAGGCTGGCCAAAGGAGGCCTCAGATCGTCTGCCTGGTGCTCCTGTGTGGTTTAGGCTTAGCCAGCTCTGATGCTTTGCTGGACAGACCTCCCAGCCCCAATTCTGCTGCCACAGCACTGAACCTGTTTCCTAGTTGCAGATCAGCAGGTGAGGAGAGACCTTCCTGGTGCCAGAGATCACAAGCTTCCAGCCTTCACTATCCTGGAAGTCTCCGTTTCCAACCTGGTAGACATGTGCCTGCTTCTCCTTCAGCACGTTTCTTTCCTTCACTGTAGCAGCATCAGCAGAAGTTGAAAGTTATGACCCTTGTGAAGATGAGATACATAACTGTACCTCCTAAAAGATGTCGCCTTGCTAGAAGTATAGATGGGAAGTAAATCAGACTTCTTGTTCAGCAGCCGTGCTGGTTGAGTACACAGGGAATCGTGGTATTTTGGGATTCCTGTTTGGGTGAATCGACTCAGTCATGGCATCAAAAATGCAAATGGTCTCTTTGAGGAGTTTTCAGTTTGCTCATGGCTTTAACACGTGTGAATCATGTAATTGGGAAGTGAAACGATACTGTTTGACCTGTGCCGCCTCAATGTAGCAAGAATTACAAACATTCAGTTCATGCCTACTGGCATAATTATTCTTTGCAGCAATATATAAATACTGTCTAATAATTAATAAATATTTTTAATGTAGTAGTAGTTTTCAACAAAACTACTACATAGCTTTTAACTATTCAGTCACTTTTAGAATTACTAAACACGGACTTCTCAAATTCTCCAATCAATTCAGTAGAAATACTTCTTTTTGGCTGCAGTAAGACTCTCTCAGTCTAAGTTGCAATGGGTTTGATACCTTGGAGCAAGCCAATGAATTCTAAGAGGAGCTGGCAACGCCATCTAGAGTTGAGGCTGCCTGGTATTTCTTATTACTGGGCCTTTTTTCTGTTGTCTACGAGTACATCAGAGTTGGAAATGAAATTTTCTGCGCCAGTTGGCTGTCTCTGGCTGAATTTTACATTTTGAAAAGTGAACACCGTTCAGTTTGAGGAAGAAATTAGTGGAAAACTGTTTAGTCTGGTAACTTTTATTAATATATTTTCACTGAGACTCTTGAAAGCCTTTGTGCTCAGAAGAGAAAGGACTTTAAAAGTGTTGGGAAGGTTTGTTTTCATGCTGGTTTATGCAGTTAACATAGATGGGTACTGTGAAGATGCTGGGTAGTCATACAATCTAGCATTACATAGGGAAATTAAAATTGCACGTAGATCAAATTCTTGCACTTCCCAATTTATTAGTGTTGTCACTTCATTCCAATCCTTTTGGCGTAGTTTTTGCATGTATTTGAATATGTATTCAGTGTTATGTTCTGTAGCACGTGTGCAACCGTTTCAAGAACAGTAATTCCATTTCTTTCTGGGTAGTACCTGTCTTATGGTTATTCAGGTGTTACAAGGTTCTCAGTGGATCCTAATATTTTATCTTGGTTTTCTAGAGCACATCTAGAGGTTCCTAAACCAGGTATCTCTTTGCCATTGCAGTGTCAGGATTGAACGTGCAATGGGCTGGGATAAGATAGACTGAGAGGATGATGATAACAGGACAGCCGTGAGTCAGCATCTCATTTGCTGTATTTGGCTTTGGTGTTAGGGCAAAGAGTTTTAATAATGATATTTGGTAGTTTATTCAGCAAAAAGAAGGGTTTATAGCTTTCAACCTGAAAGCACCATATACACTAATGAAAAGTAGTATCAGTGCCTCTAAAACCTTTAAATGCAACATAAGGCTGATGTGGTGTTTTGAAGTGCTGAGCAGTAAACATTTTGCTTAAGTGTACATCTACTTAAAATGGAATCTCAGCAGATTTACACGCAAATTCCATCAAGTACCAACCTTTGTTCAGCCATTGCTGTGTGGATTTTTTCATTAATTTGAAAGCATTTAGGAATGGAAAAGAGCCAGTGTTCTCCTAATTGGATAACCTGGAGTAAAATTGCTAAATCCATATGTAGGCACCAGAATGTGATTTGTTTCTTAATGGGGCTAATTTTGCTGAGACTTGAGGGATCTTAGCATCTCTGAAATCAGGTTCCCTATGCAGGTATTTAAGACAAGGTAAAGAGGCTGGTCTCATTCTTAAGTATGGATGCCCACCATGGGGGCACATGAATTACATTTGCAGAGTGGTCTTTGGGAAACTGCTTAAATTGCTGTTGGAATCCAGGTTATTTTTAATGAGAAAAAGGTGTAGCTTTATATATTGGGAAAATTATTAATTTATCTTGCCTAGATTTTCACAGTTCAGTCCCAAGTCCAAGAGTGTCAGAAGGATAAGTTACAGTGAAGAGCTGTATGGTTTATTCTTGACCAGTTGATGTGAAGCATTCTGTATTTCTTATCACCATTGCCTCCACAAAAAGTCACTTACCTATTCATCACTGCAGGTGTCTGAACTATAGTTTTGGAAAAGATGGTGCATTTTAAATCGTTAAAGTCTATTCCCAGCTCTTTTGCATTTGAAAGATCTTGATCTTATAAGAATATTGAGTGTTAGTTCTTCTCTAGTTATCAGCGTGAAAGCTTTCAGAGGAACAGAACTGAGAAAAACCTCTTGGAACAGCAGGTTGGTTGGCAGCTACTGAGTTCCCTGTGCCTACTGCCGTGCTATGGGAGCTTGAAGTGGCAAGAGAAGGACCTGTGTGGAATATGTTTACTCTTTACCTGTTCTGCTGTGGGTTCAACGAGAACAGATTTTTGGCTCTGAGCATCTGTGCATATATTCCGTCTGAATAGGAGGCAAGTTATGAAATGAGCTCTGAAAAAGAATACTAACCACAGCTAATTTTTAAAAAAAGAATATAAGTTGCTACCTTTTGAACAGCCAAAGAAAATGAGGGGCTTGTGTAGGCTCTTAGATTTGTTTATTTCCTTTTTTTTTTGCCAGATTTTGCACTGATTTGTGTTAAGGTGAGTTTTCTCGAAAGTTTGTCTCAAAACAGGTGTGAGCTGTATGCATGAAGAGGATGTGTACCTTAATCTAAGATGACTGCAGGTACAGAAAGCTGTGTAACAGCATTAGTTTAATCCACATTACTAATATCCCCCCAAGTTCTGACCTGAGGAGACTTTTCTGACCTTTCTTGCTCCCTGAGTGTGTCTCCATTTACGTTTCCTAATGTGAGCACTGATTGTGCACTAGGCTCTGTGCTCAGATGATGTGCAAACAGATACCAGGTATGGGAAGAGTTACCAGGTCGATGCAGCTTTCAGTTCCTTCCTGGCTGGACCAGATTTGAAGCGGGCAGCTGGAGCAGAGAGATTCTTTTTTGTTTTGCCAAATCTGAGCATAAGGATGATTGGTAAGGAGCAGGGACTAGAGAACAAAAGTAAAGATTACTAATTGTGTAAGGAAACAAAAAAAAATATGGGACAGCTCATAACAAGTAGTAGCACGCTACTAAGGATAGTGCTTACTGTGCAAGAGCATCATTTTCCATGCTTGATGAGAGACAACTCTCCCCATGAGAGTCTCCCTAGAATGCTTTCCCAAAGTGTGGTGTGTACATTGCTGGTGGTTTGCAGGCCACTTCAAAGTGAAACTCTGAACCTAGGTCTCTGAAACCATGCAAGCGTGCAGATCTAAAATATACACCATTCCTCTTTTGAAATTGGCTGCAGAGTTCCCACAGTTTTCTTTGCTGCAGGGGGCAATCCATGGTGAGGAACTGATTTCAAGAACACCAGCACTCTTTGCTATAGACTTTGTGTGATGTGAGACAATTTATTTCTTCTGTCTGCCTAATGATTCCTTTACTGCAAAGCAAGGAGAACAGCACATCTCTGCCTCACGTAAGGTCTTGATGATAAGAATTTGTAAGATGCTGTGGCAGGGATGCCCGTTATTACAGCCAGCCATGGATTACCATAGCATTTCGTGGTGTTTATCCCAAGTCAGGACTAAGGCTCACAGGCAGAAAACACGCAGAAATCTGCAGAGTGCCTCCACTATAGCTGGTTCTAATTAGTCATTTTTATGAGCTCCAGAGTCAGACAAAAATGAGGAGCCCTCCCCTTGTGTAGTTTCCTGTTTGCTGGGTGCATGTAAAAGAGATCTGGCCCTGATGTATGTTAATAATGAGCTGATAATGTAAGCCAGCTGAGAGATGTGGAGTTGGTCTGGTATGCTGCCAAGGGGGAGGTGAGAGTTCAGGAACTGACTCATGTTGCCAAGACCTGGTCCTGTGGAGAAGGTCTGCCCATTAATAGATTGAGTTTCTCATTAGGGCTACACAGCATATGCTTACAGCTTTTGGGTTTCTAGCTGAAACCCAATACTAGTAAAAGCCTGCTGAGCAGAGCGGCAGATTTACTGGTAAATAAAGGATTAAAGGAACACTTGGCAGGGTTGTTGGGCTGGAAACCTGAGTGGCCTTTGAAGATTTCTCCATATTGTAGGTCCTCCCTTTAAATTTATACCAAGAAGAAACTTCTGCTCTTTACCATGCAGCCCACAGGGCAGGAGTTTTACGTAGTCTGCGCTGTATTCTTCAAGGGTGCAAGATGCTTACGTCTGTCTTTTAAATCAAATGCATGATGTTGTCTCTAAAGTCAATCAGCCCGAGTAAGTTGTTAGCTCAGAGGTGTAAACAGGCTTCCCTCCTACCCCTTACCCACTTGCAGGCCTTGTGTTTCCATGGAGAACCAGTACGGTGTGATAGTTTTCACAGCGAGCAGCTCAACATTTAGAGCAACTCTGAAACTGCTCTTGTTCTCTTCCCTTTTTTTGAATGAGGTTCTCCAGCAAACCAGCACAGCCGCCTGCTTGGGTTACAGCATGTGAAGTTTATTACAGCTGGCCATGAATGGGCTGCATACGTGGATAAACAGCTTTAGCAAACTGAAATGCAGACAAGTTTAAATAG